GGTACCCCATCAGTAGATATTTCTAAGCTGACCTACTTTGAATATCACAGACGCGGTGATGCCACCTTTTCTCTTTCCTCTGTATCTGAGAGCACTGTTGCAAATATTATAAAGAGTCTGCATTCTGATGCTGTTGGAGTGGATGGCATATCTTTACAGATGCTTGTCATGACTCTTCCACAATCTCTTAGTGCAATAACATCCATTGTAAATAAATCTTTAAGTGATGCACAATTTTCTGACTTTTGGAAAACAGCTCTAATTAAACCTATTCCTAAATGCACGAATCCATCCAGTGTTAGCGATCTTCGACCAATAAGTATTCTGCCTTGTCTGTCTAAAATTGTGGAGAAGGTAGTGTGTGATCAGATAGTGAAGTATTTGGAATCCAACTCATTGCTACCCCAGCTACAGTCAGGTTTTCGAAAAAAGCACAGTACATCTACGGCTCTCCTTAACGTAGTCGATGATATTCTGTCTGCGCAGGATAAGGGTATGGGTACTCTGATGGTGCTCCTTGACTTCTCGCGTGCCTTCGATTCTTTGTATATTCCATTACTTCTATCAAAGCTTTCTTACTTTGGATTTGACGCTGCAGCCGTACGATGGTTTCACAGTTACCTGACAAATAGGATGCAAACTGTGGAAGTGGTAGGTGGAAATGGGTCTGTATTCTACTCTCAGTGTCGTGCAATATGCAGAGGTGTCCCTCAAGGGTCCATTTTGGGTCCCATTCTGTTCATCATTTATAGTGCAGATATAGCTGAAAGCATAAAGCACTGTCAATTTCACTTATATGCTGATGACGTGCAGCTGTATCGGAGCTGCTTTCCTAGCGATACTGGTGAATCTGTGGATAAGATTAATGACGACTTAAATGAAATACTTATCTGGTCACATGAGAACAGTTTAGTTCTCAATCCATTGAAGACTAAATATTTGATTCTTGGCTCTAAGAAACAGGTGACTAGCATCATGTCAAATGACCCTCAAATTTTTGTTAATGGTCAGTCCATTGAACAGGTATCAGAGGCTAGGAATCTGGGAGTAATTTTTGAATCAAATATGAATTTTGAGAAACATGTTCTCGAGGCTGTTCAAAATTGTTTTTACCGTCTCAAGGTGCTATATAAATTTCGCCCTTTTCTTAGTGAGGATTTAAGAATTCGTCTGTGTGAAACATTGGTCCTGTCCAAACTTAACTATGCTGATGTTGTTTTTGGCCCATGTCTGCTAGCTAGAACTGAACGTCTCATTCAACGTGTACAAAATGCATGTGCGCGTTTTTGTTTTTCTATTCCATCTAGGGCCCATATTACACCATACTTGAATAATTCCAATTTAATGAGGATGGGCTCTCGTAGACAATTGCATTTTGCCACACTTTTGTTTGATATAGTACACTCTCGAATGCCGGAGTATCTTTACTCTAAGATTAACTGGGCCAGAGATAAAATGTTTCGTTCAAGAGCTGCCACTTACATGATACTCACTCCCGCACATAGAACTGCTGCTTTTCGTGGCTCATTCAAGTACTCAGCTTCGAAGTGTTGGAATAATTTGCCACCCCCAATACGTTCACTGAAAACACATGACACATTTAAAAATAATTTTAAGTTGTTCTTGTTACAGACACAGGTGCAGCCCGTTTAATTATCTTTTCCCTTACCTTTTAATTTATTTTCAATAAATATATTGCTTTTTGTAACAGCCGAATCTTTTCTTTTCATTTTTTGTATTGCATACGTGTCACTGTCACTAAAACTAAGAGCAAAGAGTACGGAGTCAAAGTCCATCTTTAATTTTTATTTTATTTTTTCTTTGTAAATAACCACAGATTACCTCTGTTACAATGTATAATTTCTGCCACAGATACTGCTATGTGTTCTGTCCTATACTGATTTCTTTTCTTTTTTGTTTTGTTATTTAGTATGTACTTAATCTGTATTTTACCTTTTTCTTTTCTGTGATGTCACTGCTCTGGGTATGGCAGAATACCAGTGCAGCAGGAATTTTTCCTGCTGTGTATGCTGAGTCATATCCAGTGTTGGCATCACATAAAATACACATTTACCGTCTGTAGCTGTTTTTTGTTGTTGTTAATTTTACTTGTACGTTTTGTTTTACTTTTTGTTATATGTATTTTTGACTTTATGTGTATGTTATGTGTTGTCAGCAATAAAAACATTTTTCTTTCTTTCTTTCTAACCAGGGAGAAACGGGAAAATCTTGTCATTGAACTCTATCAGGCTTTGGAACACATTTCCGAATGGGGTACCAGGAACTTGGTTGGGTTCAATGCCAAGAAAACTCAGGCTTGCGCTTTCACGGCAAAAACATCGCCATTCCTTCCCCTTCCATCTCTTCAGGGCACAACACTACCGCTGCAGAGCAACATTTCCATGCTCGGTATGGAAGTTCGCTCAGACCTGAATCCAAAGGACTACATCGAAACCGTGATCAAAACAGCTTCACGCAAACTCGGAGTCCTGAACAAGGTGCGGCGTTTTTTCACGCCCGATCAACTGTGCTTGTTGTACAAAACGCAAGTGCGGTCCTGCGTGGAATATTGCTCGCACCTCTGGGATGGCTCCGCCAAGTACTTGCTCGATGCTTTGGATAGGTTACAGCGGCGCGCGATCCGCATCATAGGCGATGAGGAGGTGACTAAACACCTTGAGCCTCTTCAATTACGCCGTGACGTAGCGTCACTAAGCGCGTTCTATCGTTTGTACCACGGCGAGTGTTCTGAGGAGTTATTCTCTCTTATCCCACCTTCCCCTTTCCTTCAGAGGACCACGCGCGCTGGCCTACGTTGTCACCGTTTTACTGTGGCCACAATTCCAACGCGTACAAAGAAATTTGGTGACTCATTTCTTTGTCGCACTATCCGTAAATGGAATGCTCTGCCCGCTCACGTGTTCCCTCTCTCTTACAACCTGGGATCCTTTAAAAGAGGCGTGAAGAAGCAACATGCAGGCCGGCAGGGTGAGGATGGCTGGTGTGGCAGGTAGAACTGCTGTTTCAGCTATCTTCGCGTCTGGACTTCACCTTCACTTAACATCAGGTGGGGTGGAGTCATTTGTCGGACCTAACTATAAAAAAAAAAAAAAAAAAAATTGCTAGATTGAACAAAAACTGTTGATGCAGTTTTAAACCTGATACATTTTACCATCTTTTTCGATCGTATTGTTTTAAATTTGAATTCAGAATACCATACGACATGGAGCTACACCTAACAAGTCGGATATGCGCCTTGTTAAAGGCAATTGATTTTTGAATAAAAAACATGTTTTATCAAATAAAGGTTTAATTTAATAACGCATGTTGCCTCCATGGGCATCTCTCATATGATTAGGCAAAGAGTTTATCAACCGCTCTATGAAATTTTGAGGGATCATCTCCCATTCCTCTTCTATGGCAGTTTTCAACTCCTGCATCGTCTGGGCAACTGGCTGACGAGCCCTAACACGTCTTTTTAGCTCGTCCCACATGTGCTCAATGGGGTTCATGTCTGGGCTTCTGGCTGGCCAGTCCATAACTGTGATGTTCACATCCCGAAGATATTCCCTGACGATGCCGGCCGTATGGGCTCTTGCATTATCATGCATAAAAAGGAAATTTGTGCCCACATAGTCCGCGTATGGTATCACGTAAGGTTCTAAGCACTCACGAATGTACCTTTCAGCATTTAATGTTGGCAGCCGTGTTCCTGTAACAACCTCAAGTTGAGTTTTGCCGCTCGCGGATATACAGCCCCAGACAGTCCATGAGCCACCGCCATAAGCAACCCTCTCTTCAAAGTAGCATTGTGCGAAACGCTCTCCCTTACGTCGGTAGACCTTCTTCCTTCCATCATTGCCATGTAACACAATTTTAGACTCATCAGAAAAGAGTACACGGCTGCAATCTTGCTGTGTCCAATTTAAATGACTGCGTGCGAAATGAAGGCGCGCTGTTCGGTGGGCTCGCGTTAGTTTGGGCCCATTAGCTGGTTTGTGTGGTACCATATCGCGTTCTTTTAACCTTCTCCGAACAGTTCGAGCGCTCACAGATACTCCGTGGAAGTCGCGAATTTGTTTTTGTATCTCAATGGAGGTAAGGTAACGATTTCTCAAGCTGGTCGTCACGATGAATCGATCCTGCCTTTCAGTTGTGACCCGAGATCGTGGCCTTCCTTGGCGACGAACAAAGCCGCCAGTCTCTAGGTACCTCCGATAAACATTTCGGACCGCAGATCGACTTAAATTAAGTTGAGCACTCACGTTTCTTTGGCTGTGTCCGGCCTGAATAAGTGCCACAGCTTGGGCGGCGACTTCAGGTGAAGTATCCATAGATTATTGATAGAACCTCACCTTAATGTTAAGAATAAGTAATGTTTGTTGCAAAACCAAAGATATCAATCACTTTTTCAAGAATTAAATCCAAGTAAACCAATAAAACCAAGTTTTCTTAGTATTCGATTGATTGATATCAACAAACAGGCTCCAAATTGTCTTCTGTTTCTTTAAATTCTGTGTTCGAAATTCAAAAAAAGACTATTGAATGAAATTGTGAATGTTCCAGGTTCAAAACTGCATAAAAACTTTTTGCTCGACCTAATATAAAATTTTAGCTAGGGCCAAACGAAACTGAAAATACAGGGGGCCAATAGATGTGTCCAGAAGTGTATTTTACTAATAATGACGATAAGCCGTCTCCATTCGGTTCTGTTTATAAATAAATGCCGTTAATAATACGTTTTATTGAGTAAAAGAAAAAACAAAATGGTACCATTTTTAAGACACGTATTTATTATTAATAATAATGTACTTCTTTTAGATCTTATTAATCTTTATTCAATTTTATATTTTTGCACTTCGTAACTTTTTTCAGTAGATACTTAATTTGGCACTTCAATTTTAGTATTATCATTACCATTATTTATGTGTAGTTTATTAACAATTATGAAGAATATAGTTCACAATTAAAAACACACTCAAACAAATCTATAGCATAAACTTTCATGTCCTAAAAAATGTTAATGTGGTTACCATACGCGTATTCATAACTGAGAATTAAATAAAGCAGGATATTTCTTTAAATATTACTTAGAGCAATAATATTTGAATATAATCTTAAACTACAAATACTCTGCAAAAAATGCATCGACTATTCTGTTGAAAAATGCGTCAATTATAACTCACTGGGAAATGGTTTATTATATCATACAAAATAGTTCTAATTTTCACCACCCGCACGTGGCGCCATATGGAAATGTGCGCCATTTACCTATTGGAAAAAAAATGCATAATTAAAGTTTTACTAGAAAAAAAATCCACGCGGACCAGCCAGCGGACGGGACTCGAACCCGCACCCTTCGCAATCCGGGCGAATGCACTGACCAATTATGCTATCACGGCCTTGATGGCCTCGTCGAAATTTTCCTAGCCTTAAGCTGCAAGGCAGCGCCATCTCTTCGCATTGTAGGTAACCCACAATGTCCAATGAATACTTTTTCAAGTATTAAACATTTGAAAGAAGAAATAGCAATTATACTTGTTTTTATTTTTTAAGCACGACTGCACTGACCAATTATGCTACCACGGCCCTGATGGCCTCGTCGAAATTTTCCTAGCCTTAAGCTGCAAGGCAGCGCCATCTCTTCGCATTGTAGGTAACCCACAATGTCAAATGAATACTTTTTCAAGTATTAAACATTTGAAAGAAGAAATAGCAATTATACTTTTGTTTTTATTTTTTTAAGCATTTAACTACTAGATGTTTAAATCTAAAGAAAAGTTTTACTAGAAAAAAACCACGCGGACCAGGTAGCGGACGGGACTCGAACCCGCACCTTTCGCAATCCGGGCGAATGCACTGACCAATTATGCTACCACGGCCCTGATGGCCTCGTCGAAATTTTCCTAGCCTTAAGCTGCAAGGCAACGCCGTCTCTTCGCATTGTAGGTAACCCACAATGTCAAATGAATACTTTTTCAAGTATTAAACATTTGAAAGAAGAAATAGCAATTGTTATATGTTTTTATTTTTTTTAAGCATTTAACTGCTAGATGTTTAAATCTAAAGAAAAGTTTGACTAGAAAACAATCCACGCGGACCAGGCAGCGGACGGGACTCGAACCCGCACCCTTCGCAATCCGGGCGAATGCACTGACCAATTATGCTCCCACGGCCCTGATGGACGCGTCGAAATTTTCCTAATTGTAAATCCAACGTGTAAAGAGACACATTGGATTTACGCAGAAAGTTTTGAGAAACTAAAAGACTTACTTCTATGAACAAAATAATTTTATTAAATCTTTTCAAAGAACTCTCCACCAGCCTTTATACAAAGTTTCATGCGTATGAACAAATTTTCAAATCATTTTTTTCAGTCCTTCGCAGACACCTCTTCCAAACGCTGCTAGCGCTTCTTCCGGCGATGAAAACCGTATCCCTTTGACCTGATTTTTTATTTTAGTTAATAAAAAGAAGTCACACATAGCCAAATCAGGACTGTAAGGAGGGTGTCCCAAGACTCTGACTGGTGTGGAGTCCAGGAAGTCCTTCGTCTTGATTGCAGAGTGCGCGGACGCATTGTCGTGGTGAAGAAGGACCCCGCGGAGCCCGGTGGTAGGTCGCTTGTTGCTCATTGCATAAAAACTTCTGGCAGGCATTTTGTGCTATACCATTTGGCGTTGATGCTGGTGGTCTCGAAGTGATTTGAAATTAGGTACCCCGTCAAAGTGAAAAACTAACGAAATTTTCCCTGTGCTTCTCGATCGCTTCATTTTCATAGGCGTTGGTTCATTTTGAATCAGCCAAACTGTCGACTGACGCTTTGTTTCTGGATCGTATTGATAAATCCAGGATTCGTCACCTGTCACAATATCGTGAACGCGCCGTGACGAGCCTGCATCAAATTATTGCACCAATCCATACGGGCCTGCTTCTGAACTAAGGTGAGATTGTGCGGCACCCAGCGGGAAACTAGCCTCCTTACGCAAAGGTGCTCGTGCAAAATCTTGTTAACACCTCCTGAACCAATCCGCAGAGTATGCCGAATTCCTTCGTACGTAATTCGTCTGTTTTCTTGAATTATTTTTTTTACTGCCAGCACACTTTCTTCAGTGACAGCCGTCGTAGGACGACCACTCCTTTGTTCATCCCCCAAAGTAAGCGACCGCTTTTGAACTCGCTACACCAGCGGTAGATGGTTGCTGTTGAAGGTTCCTCATCCATAAAAGCAGTTCGAAATCGATCAAATGAATCATCAGGTTTTAAGCCACATTTAAAATCGTAAAAAATCATAGTTCTCGATGCAGATCCATTTTTTAATGAGATAAGAAAAATTTAATTACCTCTCGAAAAAATGCGGAAGGAAATTTGAAAATCGAACAGTGGTATTTTTACTTTAAAATAATCGAAATTTTCAGAATAGTTACAAGTGACCAGTGTCTTACACATAAAAACTTTTTTCGCAAAACTTTCTGAGTGGCCTGTTACCTACATATCATTTACTAGCTATAAGAGAAAGAGAGAAAGAAAATGTGCGCGCGCACAATTTCATTACATATACACACTTTCATACATATCATTTACGAGCTATAAGAGAAAGAGAGAAAGAAAATGTGCGCGCGCAGTGCAATCTCCCACTCAACTCCCGTTCGCCTCGCTCGAACACACTTTTCGTAACGCGTATCGCATTCGCTAGCTTACCTCCCAAGTCAAGACTGAGGTTTTGGGGGCACCACGTAGTCAGCACAGGAGCTTTACTCTCTTTCTCCGAAACGAAATTTCTGTGGGGAACTGTACCCTTAGCACGAACCAATATGGAATTTGAATAGTTTGCGAGTCCGAAATGTCCTTGTCAAATTTTTTCAATGATTTTTTGCGAATAACTCTAAAAATATGCATTTACCCAAAAAAATGTGTAGAGTCAAATTGTAGCTTTTAAAAAAAACGAAAACAATGTGTTTTTTTATAATTTTTCTAAGACAAATATGAACTAAGATACAGCAAATTAATGCTTAGTTTTTTATAAATTGGAAGATTTACAGCAAAATAACGAGAAAAAATTGCATTATTCGGAGAAAGCTTATAGAATGTTTTAAAGTATTTAATTAGAGCTTTCAAACAAATGAAAAACAATGTCTCTAGCATGATAAATTGACGACTTATGATCAAATTAAGATCGGTACCCGCTTTTTTCTACGAAAAAAAATCTGAAAACAATTCCTAAAGTAATCCCTAATTAAAATTGATCGCTACCCTTCTGTAATTCTCTTTATATATGTACTACACTTCTGGACACATCTATTGGCCCACCTTAGAGTTTAGGTTTCGATGGCCCCTACCGAAATATGATTGCTAGATTGAACAAAAACTGTTGTTGTTTGGACCGATTCGTGAAATTTACAAAGAAATCCCACCTAGGTTTTGATAAACCCACCTAATTTAAGAATACTAGTAGGTATCATAAATGCAAAATGAAACCAATTAATTAGTTAAGATAAATCTTTAATTATTGAACAGCAATGGAAGAAAATCAATCTTCATCATACAACGACAAAACAGAACAATTTATTCGAGAGCGATAATTAAACGATATTTCATGATAACTTCTATACTTTTGGACAAGTAGTTTTCTTTAGGTAATTCTTTCCAGAAGGCACCGGCACTATAGTCACCCCTTGAGGAAAAACTTTACTAAGTTGGTCTTCTGGTAAAGTTGGCAATACCATACAGTCATCTCCCATCTGAAAATATAAGTTTAAGTGAGCCCCCCTAGCATGAGCACCGCGATATGATATGTAACGCGTTTTTATCACGTTCGAGTGTCAAAAATATGGAATTTTACAGTTAGACGCGATATAAAACGTGATATAATGTAAATTTTGTTGCTCATGCTACGGGGGAAGGAGTAAGTAACTATACCGATAAATTACACGTCATAATTCCTCTGCTGCGGTGGCAAAGAATTGGTGCATGGCATGCGTCATATGATCGCTCTCAATCACTAATCGTGTGCGTTAAGCCTGTGACAAGTCCAGTGGCGGATTTACCCTAAGGCCCGGTAGGTCCGGGATTAGGGCGGCCAGATTTAGGGGCGACCCTAATCGACACTCTACTGACAAAATTAAGCGTGTATGAAATCAATGAAAAGGCCAAAGCTTTGTAAATAATTTATTAAGTAAGTTGTAAATAATAGAAAAAAAAAACACGCGGACCAGGCAGCATTTTTTTTTCTATTAAAACTTTTCTTTAGATTTAAACATCTAGCAGTTAAATGCTTAAAAAATAAAAACATAACTATAAATGCTATTTCTTCTTTCAAATGTTTAATACTTGAAAAAGTATTCATTTGACATGGTGTTACCTACAATGCGAAGAGATAGCGTTGCCTTGCAGCGTAAGGATAGGAAAATTTCGAAGCGGCCGTCAGGGCCGTGGTAGCATAATTGATCAGTGCATTCGCCCGAATTGCGAAAGGTGCGGGTTCGAGTCCCGTCTGCTGCCTTGGCCGCGTGGATTTTTTTCTATTAAAACTTTTCTTTAGATTTAAACATCTAGCAGCTTAAAAACGACGATTAGACGATTTTTCAGAAAATTTCTCCATTTTCGTGCTCACTGCACTATAAAAAAATGAAGATAGGAACAGAGCTGTCACTTTGTTTGAAATGGCTACGAACTGAAGATCTTCAAAGCATTTACCCAAAGATGGATATTGCTCTCCGTATGTGTGTGTGTACTCCCGCCAGTAACTTTTTTGGAAAACGATCGTTTTCTTCTTTACGACGAGTAAAAAATGATTCACGACAACATTGACAGAACAAAGGTTAAACATTCTTGGTTTGCTTAACATAGGTGCTGCTTTTTTAAGGAAATTAGATTGCGAAGATTTAATTAATGATTTTGCTGCACTAAAGAACAGGCGAGTTTTGTAACACACTGTATGTGTTATACAGTATCTTCTTATTATATGTTATCATGTACTCAACCTGTAGTTAAATAAATAAAACCTAAAACCGTTTAAATGTCCAATTATGCCTGCAACCTCGTAAAGTATTAGAAATTAGCAGCTATTATTATTATTTATTCTAGTAAACTTATAGTTACTTACTTTTACCCACACTACCTACCCGCACTTGCGATAACAAGTTGATCCATACAAATTAATTGTGTTTTATTAGATATTCAAACATTTAACTCGCAATTAAGTGATAAAAGTTGATAACACTCGTGTAAAAGTTATCATAACCAAGTATGCCAAGTTGGCAGAGTATGTTGGAGCAAATACCTAGTTGTAACAACTTATGTGCTCTATTCTTGCGAACTAAAACAATACTTTTTCCTAATTTTTTAAATCTCTTTTGATAAAACTAGGTAATAAAGTAATTTTATTATGTAGTCTACGGTGGATGAGAAATGTGCGGCTGATGGCTTGGGGCCTAGAGAGGCCGAGACTGCAAATCCGCCACTGGACAAGTCCTAGGCGGACATTTTCTTCACGATTTAGTGACTTTTGTCCTCCGGAATACCTTCGTTTGCGCAGGCTTTAATGGCTATAATGACGAAGGACAACTAACTGTTCGCGGAGTTATTTTGTCCGACACAATAATATCGCTAACAACTGCATCGAGTAACGCACCCAAAGGACTAATAATACCGTGTGCATAAAGTACCCCGGACAGCCAAGGACGCTGAGGTGAAAAGTACGCGGGTGTCCCGGAAAAAAAAACAACTCACTTAACAAACATTTGTCTGCGTTGCGCGCTCGATCCGATTGAAAGAGATAGATGATGATAATGCCAGTATACTGAAACGTCATCTTTTTCTTAAATTTCATAAAAATGCTCGGCGGACAATTTAGTACTTTTTTTTTAACGGTTATCCCCAATTTGTATCAGGTCTTTTTCTTTCTTTTGTTTTTTGTTTGTTACTATTATTTTGTTTTTAATCATGCCTGCTCTTTTGCATGTTTTGTTGTGCTTTTTCTTTTGCACATCTTTCTTTTTCTTTTCATCTTTTGCAATTATCTTAATTCCTATTACATTTCTTATAATACAATTTAGTATTAGTGACTACTACACTTGTGCTGTGGGTCAACTCTCAGCCACAGGTTAATAAAAATTTAACTCACTCTACTTACAGTCTGAGGACTGATTCTTAGGTATGTTGTAGACTTTTAATCTTTAAAAGTGTCTGGCAGTATTAAATTGTTTACAAATTCACAACAACATACGTAAGAATCAGTCCTCAAGACTAAGTAAAGTGAGTAAAATGATTACGTACCTGTGCCACCTGATTCCTGAGAATTAGCTCACAACACTTACACGTTTGAATAACCTTATTATATAGACAAACATAGTAAATGAACTAACCTTCCAATCAACGGGAGTAGCAACTTTAGCTTTATCAGTCAATTGTAAAGAGTCAATCACGCGGAGTATCTCACTAAAACAAATAAATTTACTGAGTTGCAAAACTTTAAACAATTTAGTTTTTTTTTCTCTAAATACACACTAAAATCATTATAATAGGTGAAGGAAAAATTCTTCGTAACTACTTCTTTTTACCCGACTGCGCAATGCAAGAGCGCGAAGCGAGACGCGCAGACAGGGTATAGTGTTTAACAGTCTATATATGTATGTTTGTTCCTTTGTGGCACACTAGAGAACAAACGTCTGGACCGATTTTGATGATTCATACATCAATCGATTCGTCTCAATCATGGGAGTGCTACTAAAGATATGATAGTAATCAAAATTCAATATGGGAAAAATTAGGCGCCATATTGTGACGAAGTAAAAAAAATAAGTTGACAAAATATGTCGAGTGGGGTATCGCTGTCTAGATAATCGAAAATCATGTTCAGGTTCCTAACACCATTTTTCATTTTATATGATTGTTTAGGATCTACAACGCTTTAAAGTTGTATATTAACCACTTGCGCTTTTAATTTCAATCTTACGTTTGTATGGATCTTTGTTACTCTTTCACCTAAAAAGTACTGAATGGATTTTGATGAAACTTAACAGTAATATAGCTCATATATGATAATAAAATATATATAATAATTTATGTAGTTATTGAGTGAATTGGCCAAAATATAACAATAAGTGTCACATAGGACGCAAAAAAATCTCGTATCAGCGAGCCATTTTGGCCTGCACTGCAAAAACAATAAAAGTTATTTATTGGTAGTGTAAAGCTCGAATGAAGAGTACTTCCACCTATCAAGCGTGCTGCTACCAGCCTAGTAGGTATTGCAAATAGTGCAATCATGGCAATTATTTTCCAAATATTTTTTTTGTATAAAAAATATTAATATATTATAATATAACTTTTACAATAATCAAATAAAACTATTGCTTACTTTATTTTTAAATATTTTTCATCAATTAAGTACTCTTATCCTAACTATCTATACTAATATTATAGATGCGAAAGTGAGTTTGTTTGTTGCGATTCCGTGCCCTAATACCTGAATTGATTATAATGAATTCCCCTATACAAGTAGATGGGAACTTGGTTCTTAGCTAAAACATCGCAATACTTATAGGCGTTCCTTATTAACAGAATTATAAACTACTGGACTTGTTTTTTTCTTTTCAGTTTTCATTTGAAGTATAATTAAGCAGTCGGGTTTATTGATTTTTTAAAATTTTAAACACATTTATTTGGTCAATAATAATATAAATTTAGATTTATTGTTTTCATAATTCTAGTATTGAGAAAAAATGTAGACACACACGCACAAGAACATACACTAGAAATCTTCGCAAAAAATATATATATTTATATCCTACCCCTACACCTACATGTGTCACATGCTGGGTTAAAATTATAAAAGTATAAGACCCACGAAAAACAATTTAATTGAATTGTAACTAAATATTCGGCTTGGAGCAAGCATTCTACATAACCGATTACAATCTAGAGACCTGTGACATACAGATAGACGACATTGTATATATTCAGTTGCAAATTTTTCACAACTCTGCTCACTCAGTTACTACATAACTCTCCCTAAATCATAATTAGTTACTAAATTACATACCATTCAAATAAAATAGTATAGACTGAGAGCAAGTGTTCCGTAGACTTATAGTATATTAGCAAAGTCCTTTTAAATGCTAGGTATACTATTTTACCTGCCATAGATGAAGTGGAGATTCCCTATTCCCATGACGGGTTCTTTTTGGACGTGCCCAGAAGTAAAAAGCATCAAAATTGACCCTGAAAACGTTATCACAGATTGTCTATTGTTTTCATATATCTTAAAATATATATATTTTTTTTATGTAAATTTAATGGCACGCCCAAAGGAATTTTTGCTGGGAATAGGAAACCCCCAACTTCAACTACGGCAGGTGAAATAGTATACCTAGCATTAATAAGGACTTGGCTACTATACTGTAAGTCCGCTCAACGCTGCCTCTAGCAGCAACTAGCAGCCTTATCATCTAATGGAAACAAGCTAAAGTCTGGGTACATCTATACTATAAAGGACAATGTTAAAATTGGCCTAAGAATCAACACCAATTTGGCATTTATGATAATTCTTAGTATATTTTTTGCGATAATTATCAGTATTTAGATTGTAACGGACACTTCCAGTTAAGGAAGATAAATTAAAAAGTTAAAAAATAATCTGAGACAATAAATTAGCATTTTATGTGTATAATCTATGACAGCGCTGCAAACAAAACACTCTTCCTTCCTAATGCCGGCACTTCACTTGGCTATTCGTATTTGCTATTTTAAAACATGACATCAGTCTGTCCTTTTCATTCCTTATTAAGCATGACAAGAACAAACTGTTGTCAAGTGAAAGGCCGGCATAAAACTCGATACTCTGTGGTTTGGTGCAGGCAGTTTGCATTCGTAGTAATCTGTGGCATTCGTGTATTCTCGTTTCGGATTACCTGTTGTGTGTGTTTATTTGCGATTGTTTTTCCTTTAATTTAACTATTTCGGCTATCTAATATGCCATCGATGTAACCAAAGAGCAGAGACCTTATTACCAAGTGCTAGTGAACCTGTGCCACAACATCCTGAGAGGATCATACTGCCAAATTATTCAAGAGCACCTGATACACATTCACGCTGCATATTTACACAATATACATGTGATATACAAATAAATACAACATACAATTATGTGAAAAATAGTCAATAAGAAGCAAAACTACAGTTTTTATTTTATTCATGATTCCTACCTAACCAAGTTTTTCCTAATAGTTATTCTTTAAAATCGCACCGAATAAAATGAATTAGTTGTAATCATGTAATATTAATTCACTTCATACTGAGTTCATACTAAGTTCATAGGTTGACCTGTTTCATTGAATATTAACCATAACCTAAAAAAAAATTAATTTTCTTAATAATTGAAGTTCTCAGAAGTGTCCGTCAATAATCTTTGTTTTTACAGTCATTTACTTGCGATTTCTAACCTAGAAAATCATTTTTCATGATTGTTGATTCTTAGGCTAACTATGTATGGACGCAGAACAATGTCCTTTTAAAACAAAGCCAATAAAATTATGGACTCACTCGAAGTTTCTTCCGGTTGTAGCAGGGTAAAGAAAGGACAATCGAAATTTCTTATTGGCATCAATTATAAAAACTGCTCGTGCTGTAAGAGGCATCCCACTAGTATCTAATTCATCCTTGTCCACCATACCTAGCAAGGTTGCTACCTTACGATCTTTGTCCTCAATAATTGGGTAAGGGAACTTCTCATCCTCATTGAAACCTAAAAAATATAGAATTACCGTGAATAATAAAGTGCAATTTATGTCGCTCATGTTCCATCTATCATGTCTTAAATATTTTCTTATTTTTGAAGTGAAACTTCTTTTCGAACTTGGTGTTAATGGAAAAATCCTATTGAAAAAATGAAACGGAAATGCGTCACGAGCGTCACACGTCTATATATACATACATATATGTGCATGTGTGGGATGCGTGCGCAGCTCTTCCCGACAAGCATGAAAAATGGAGGGTAACTCGGCGAAGGCTGGTAGCGGGGCATCGGGATACTGCCGACAGATGAATTTTGTGCCCCGTGTGTACACGTTAGAGGCCTGGAGTGATTTACTTTCACAGGCAGCGTTACTTAATAACTCTACCTTAGCTCACAGCACCAATGGTGTTATTTGAGTCCTCCAACTTGCTCACTTCATCGACCAGGCTTGCTTTCGGGAAATTGATGTCCTTCTGCAGCCTGGTGATGTAGACAGGGTCAAACGTGTCGTGGATATGACAGTGACATTTAATTGCATTGGTACATAGCCTTTCAGCCAATCCTTTCAGTTCTTTCATAAGTATTTTGATGGACTTGCAATAGAATATTGTTATATTCAAGCTTTTGGTGATCAGGTTTTTTTTTTACTTCCACAGCTTATTTCAATTTGTTTGATGATGACTTTACGTACGTACGTTTGATTATGTGGTACAAGTGCATAATAAATTCTATCTAATATACAAAATTCTCGTGTCGCGGTGTTTGTGGTTAAACTCCTCCTAAACGGCTTTCCCGATTCTCATGAAATTTTGTGTGCATATTGGGTAGGTCTGAGAATCGGACAACATCTATTTTTCATCCCTCTTAATGTTAAGGGGAAACCACTCCTATTTTTTTTTTCAATTTTAGATAAACATATTTGTTTTTTAATTTTTTTATGATATATCATACAAAAATACATACATCCCTAAATTTTCAACTTTCTACCACCAACCCCAATTTTTTATGGCGGTACGAAGTTCGCTGGGTCAGCTAGTATACATATATATTTGATGAATTTGGCATATTTTTCTACACATAAATGCATGATAATTCTTCAGACACAAGATTGGGTAGAGTTGTATTGAGAAAAAATGAACCCCTAAACTATGTATCAAAAAATCAAATCAAAAAACCCGACTGCTTAATTATACTTCAAATAAAAACTGAAAAGAAAAAAACAAGTCCAAGGTCCATAATTCTGTTAATAAGGAACAAAGCTACTTGAACAGTCGGGAACCATTAGATATTCAAGAATACATAATATTTTTCAATAATGGGTCCCGACTGTTAAAGTAGCTTTGTTCCTTATTAACAAAATTATAGACTACTGGACTTGTTTTTTTCTTTTCAGTTTTTATTTGAAGTATAATTAAGCAGTCGGGTTTTTTGATTTTTTAAATTTACCTTTTTTATTTCACACTTTTTAGTTAGATAGTGGTGTCCATTCTGGCACGATTCTCTAAATCTAAACTTAAATTTGACAACAGTGTATCCTTGTCATTCTGTATACAGAATGAAAAGGAGAGACTGATGATAAATTTAGTTTTAAGTTTAGAGAATCACGCCTGAATCGATACCAGTATTTTAAGACGGTATATACCGTAGTCTTGTTACTTCAGTAAGGGAATTAATATCGCGGGAATTATTAAGAACCTTGCGGTGGTCTAAAAGATTGATTTATTAAGACATAGAGGCTTTACCAGCGGGGTCAAGGCTACAGATGGGCCTCAATTTTCGCAAAAATGTGTGAAGTTAAATCAAGTCGTTATACATAAATATCTAATGTATGTAAATTTTATAGTAAACTAGCACTTATTCAAAAAGTCATCTTTTGTTTATGTTTCTTTTTAGTAGTTTAGCACTAAATATACAATTCATTTACTTTTATTCGTCGACTATTTAAAATTGCCAGTGGCTGCATTGTCACGTCAAACGTGATATACACAAATGCAGTGTCATATCCTAGTCTCATAATTTGATATACCTACATAATTCACAGAAACCCAATATGTAGATGCCAGAAGTTAACTTCAAATATTATTAATCACCCTATATACAATAAAAATCAATGACGTTTATGTCGCAGTTTTAAGAAAGCAGTAATTCCCGTCTGTTGTTTTGGGCAATGGTGGCAACTGCCTTAGATAGCTAATTTAAATAATTATGCAATCACCAAAGCAAAGTTTATAATATTTGATTAAACTAAAGGCGCATAATAAAATTTTCATAACGTTAGTAGACCACCATAGTAATCACATTTATTATCAATTTATAGTTCTCTTTGTAGTTTTCTTTTAAAGCGTTCACATATAACAGGTCAAAGACTTTGTGATCGACCCTTTTTCATTGATAGTGTAAAGCTCGAATGAAGAGTACTTCCACCTATCAAGCGTGCTGCTACCAGCCTAGTAGGTATTGCAAATAGTGCAATTATTTTACAAATATTTTTTTTTGTATAAAAAAAATACCGAATAACTTATCACTGTTAAGTACAAATGCTAAGTAACTTTTACAAATATTATCAAATAAACCTATTACTTACTTTATTTTTAATCTTTTTCATCAATTAAATACTATAATCTTAACTATCTATACTAATATTATAAAGAGGCAAGATTTGTATGTTTGTAACAAATAATCTGTAAAACTACTGAACCGGTTTCAAATATTAATTCATGTAGCTACATCATTTATTATTACATTTTTCTTTATTTAAATACATTTTGTCTGATTGACATAGGCTATATTTTATCACGATAAAATAAATTTCGCCCTTACAATGCGCGGGTGGATCACTAGTAAGTATAATATAATATTATAGATGCGAAAGTGAGTTTGTTTGTTGCACTTATGTGCCCTAATAGCTAAATCGATTATAATGAATTCCCCTATAGAAATAGATGGAGCTACAACATCGCAATACTTATAGGCGTAGGGTGATGAAAGGGGTGCTTTACCTATAAAAAATCTATATTATTTACTTTGAATTTTCCAGAATTATCGTTTATAATTACAAAACCAATATTATCGCGAGCTGATTAATAAATACAGGGATTCCAATAAGTATGTACCTACTAGCGAAAAATGGGTTATTTGTCATATTATTAAGTAAACCATTTTTGCTACATTAAGTAATATCGTTAAAAAAAATAAAAACAGTTTAATTATCAGTTTTTCATTAAAATTCAATAATCATAAATACCTATTATGATTATTTATTTTTCATCATTTAATAAGGAGGAACTGTATCACAGTTTTATTGTAAGTACTTCGTATAGGATCAGATACTGCGAGTAGCCCCTTTTTTACCCGGCTGCACAATGCAAGAGCGCGAAGCGCGACGCGCAGACAGGGTTATGTGTTTAACAGTCTATATATGTATGTTTGTTCCTTTGTGGCACACTAGAGACCAAACGCCTGGACCGATTTTGATGATTCATACATCAATCGATTCGTCTCAATCATGGGCGTTACTAAAGATATGATAGTAATCAAAATTCAATATGGCCAAAATTAGGCGCCATATTGTGACGAAGTAAAAAAAACAAGTTGACAAAATATGTCGAAAGGGGTATCACTGTCTAGATAATCAAAAATCATATTTAGGTTCCTAACACCATTTTTCATTTAATATGATTGTTTAGGATCTACAACGCTTTAAAGTTGTATATTAACCACTTACGCTTTTAATTTCAATCTTACATTTGTATGGATCTTTGTTACTCTTTCACCTAAAAAATATTGAATGGATTTTAATGAAACTTAACAGTAATATAGCTCATATATGATAATTACATATATATAATAATTTATGTAGTTATTGAGTGAATTGGCCAATATATAACAATAAGTGTCACATAAGACGGAAAAAAATCTCCCATCTGCGAGCCGTTTTGGCCTGCACTGCGAAAACAATGAAAGTTACATGAATGTAATGTAGAGTGAAAATGTATCTCTTAAATGGTTCTAAAAAAAGTCCGTGACACCATATATCTATTTTTAATGTGTAAGTCATTACCGCTAAAATAGTGAATCAAAACTAAAATATTATTTGATATCTATTTCCAAAATGCACATTTTGTATTAACAAATCATGTTTTATCAAAACAAATACTTTTATCGCTTTTGATATTTAAAGACGATAAACTTTGCTTTTTACACTATGTCATTTCGACAAATATTTAAAAAGTTACAACGATGACAAAGTGATAGCGCGGTGTACTATGTGAAAGAAAAAAAAATGGGCTATTCGCAGTATCTGATCCTATACGAAGCACTAACAATAAAACTGTGATACAGTTCCTTCTTATTAAATGATGAAAAATATATTATCATAATAGGTATTTATGATTATTGAATTTTAATGAAAAACTCAGAATTTTACTGTTTTTCATTTCTTAACGATAATACTTAATGTTACAAAAAAGGTTTACTTAATATAATGACAAATAACCCATTTTTCGCTAGTAAGTACATACTTATTGGAATCCCTGTATTTATTAATCAGCTCGCGATAATATTGGTTTTGTAATAATTCTGCAAAATTCAAAGTAAATAATGTAGATTTTTATAGGTAAATCACCCCTTTCATCACCCTATACCTATAAGTATTGCGATGTTGTAGCTAAGAACCAAGTTCCCATCTACTTCTATATGGGAATTCATTATATTCGATTTAGCTATTAGGGCACGGAAGCGCAACAAACAAACTCACTTTCACATCTATAATATTATATTTATCGGGATGAAATATAGCCTATGTCACTGGGACAAAATGTATTTAAATAAAGAAAAATGTAATAATAAATAATGTAGCTACCTTATGATGAATTAATATTTGAAACCGGTTCAGTAGTTTGACAGATTATTTGTTACAAACATAGAAATCTTGCCTCTTTATAATATTAGTATAGATAGTTAGGATATGATAAGTATTTAATTGATGAAAAAGATTTAAAAATAAAGTA